TATGTTTTACTGGAAAGTCTTGTCTGAATATCTAATTTTAAACCATTATATCTGTATTAAAGCCTCATGCTATTGTATTCTGTTACTACCATGTGGGACTGTCAGGTCCAGGTGATACCACTGCCTGTGAACCTGATTCTTCCTCAGAAAGATGATTCCATCTGTGCTGACAAAGGCACTCTTTATTTTTAGGATAGTTATTGCTATGGTTACTGTGAACCACAGATTTGGCCTTCAGTAGAATGTCTCTGAACAGTCAGTATCTCACATGGCAATTCTGAAACAAGATAACAAATGAATTAAAATATATCAGATATACTGCACAAGAAGAACTGCAATCACAAAATATTCACTGAAATGTGTAATTCACTTAAATGTCGAATGCAAGGTATTCAAAGTTTGTTATTCTGTAATAAAGTATTGTATTTTTAAAATGAAAGGAAAGTTAGAAAGATGTTTTATTATTTACCAAATCAGGAGGATGGTGTTATGTTAAATGCTATTATTATTCCCAAATTCAGCAATTAAAGCAGGTGGAACATTTGTAGGGGATACTAAATGCTTTATTTATAATGAAATTTAATAATTTACATATAGTATAATTGGTAAAAATCTAAAAGCAGAATTTTTTTTTTTTAGCCATAGTTTGATTTTAAGAGCATTGTTTGGCCCATTAAGAATTATTATGTGGGCTGGAGTTGTGGCTCAGTGGTAGTCCGCTTGCCTAGCACATGTGAGACACTGGGTTCAATCCCCAGCACCACATAAAAATAAATAAACAAAATAAAGGTATTAAAAAATGACACTTTTTTTTTTTTTTTAAAGAATTGTTATGGGCTGGGAATGATGTCTTGGATTTGACCCAAGCACCCCCCCAAAAAAAAAATTCTTTCAGGGTTAAAAGAAAATGAATGAAAACACATTTTTTCCAAATGGAACAAAACCTCTAATTTACATTTTTTTTTTTTTTTTTTTAAATACCTTTCAAGCGCTCTACCACTGAGCCACAATCCCGGTACCTGATTTACATCTTAAATGTACACATGTCCTTATTGTGTAATGTGCATTTCCAGAAACGACTTCAGCAAAAACCAAAATTCTTGTCAGTTAGTTTTGTAATTTGTGGATATTTCAAAAGAGTTAGTTCATTTTGTTGCATGTGAGATTAAACAAGAAAATATTCAGACCTTGCAACATAGGATTTTTTTTTTTAACTGAAAGCCATGTTTTACATTGCTTATATGTATCAAAAGTAACTCAGACTAATACATTATATAGCATTAGTAATTTAACCTTTAGATGAGTTAGCATATCAGGAAGTTTATTATATGTACATTCAAAATGTATAATGTAATACTTTGTAAAATATATCTCTACATATAATACATAAAATTTAAATAAAATTCTCCTTTGTAGTTGATTCTGATAGAATCCTAAGCAAGTGCATGCAATTTCCATTGGATGTTCTAATCTCCTGAGTTTCTGAAGCTGATTTTCTGGCATAAAACAAAAAAGCTTCCTTTTGTTGTTAAAATTGAAGGCTGGGGTTGTAACTCAGTGGTAGAGCACTTGCCTGTCATGTGTGAAGCACTGGGCTTGATCCTCAGCACCACAGAAAAATAAATAAATAAAATAAAGGTATTGTGTTTATGCACAACTGAAAAAAAATTAAAAAAAAGTTGATACTGAGGTAAACCAGGACTTACCTGAGGGATTCTACTCACTTGACTTTTAGTACTTTACAATCCTAGAGACTCTGAGGACCAGTGATTATATCAAAATTTGAAACTCATGTTGTCAACTGAGAGGCTAATGTAAAATAACATGTAATTTTTGTTGTTGAACTACGGGAGTTGTACCTCATATTCCACGTCTGAAAAACACTTCAGCTCTCTGTTTTCTGTCATAAGCTGAGTGTTTTCTCTGCTACACCCTTCTGCCATAATGTTCTGTCTCATCTTGGTCCCAGAGCTATGGAGTCAGCCAGCCATGAACTGAATCCCTGAAACCATCTGGAGAAGATGCCCTTTGAGAATCTTATGAACACATGAAAGTGCTCTCTTGGAATGGTGGAGAGCTCCAAAGTACCAGAACATACCTGAAGTTGGGAAAGTTAGGGGTTTCAAATCTATCTGTCAATTTGAACACAAACAACCTCAAAGACATTGAGAAAACCTTTCACTTTAACTTCAATATTTAATTTGATGAATATATCTCAATTCTAAGTAAAGGTAAAACAGTTACCTGTGAAAAAAAAATGGAGTAATTAAAAAAAAACCCAAAACACTTTAAAAATCTGATGAGTTCAAATGCTATTTTTTTAATGACAACTGAATATTGTCTGTAAAATCACAGTAAATCTCAACCTGTAACTTAACATTTTTTGTTACTATTACATGTGTATGTTAAAAATACATAAATACAGAAACTAAAGGTAAGACATAGATTAAATGTATTTTAAAATGCCTTGCTGTTCATGACTCATGATATCATTAATTAACTTATCAGATCAATATACTCTCAGGATGAGGTTCATTGTACTGATTATGGGGTCCAAGTCCATATTTGTCTGTGTGTGTGTGTGTGTGTGTGTGTATGTAGGGGGTGATTGACTTTTTCCCCATGATTTGACCATGTCAGCAATGTTGCTGATAAAGAATTGATAGCTCTGCTATTCTCTTGTTTGCCTTTGTTGTTGTTTTTGGTTTTTTCCTTTTCAGTGCTGCGAGTCCAAACCAGGGCTTTCTATATGCCAGGCAAGTGCTCACCACTGAGCTACATCTCCAGCCATTGTTTGCTTGTTCTTGCATTACTTGCATTAGTTTCAGTCAGCAGTGAAATCTTTTTAAGCCACTTATCTACTTCATGAAAGTTAGTTTTGTTAAAACTAGATTATGAATTCCACAAATTGAACACATAGAGAGTACAGTCTGTACCAATTTGTTGAAAGTCCTTTTGTTCTCTCCTTGGAGCAGAATTCTCACTTCTTCCTCAAGATATCTTGTTTACCTAAATTCTGTGTAACTACTTGGTATCCACCACATGAGAAAAAAGCTCACTTTGAATTTCCATATTAAACATTAATAGGAAAATTTAATTTTCATTTAACATGAATAAAGTGTAAATGGAAGTCTTAAATATTTTATTCTTTCACCCTGATGGATGGTCTTGCACATTCCTTTAGTTATGTGCATCACATTTGGGCGACTCCCATGTTAGAGTCCATGCTCTAATTACTAAAATTTTAAAGAGAAAAATGATGAACATAATCAATGATAGGAAAGAAAAAGAATAGTCAATTTATTTTCACTGGAATACTTCTACCTAGCCCCTAATTAAGTGGGTCTTGCCAATCCTCTTTGTTCCTAAAGTAAAATATTTACATTAATATGCAGATTGACAAAAAATCTTGTGATTTACCTTTTTTTTAAATCCCCCTCCCCATACTGCAATTGAACCCAGGGACTCCCTGTATGCTAGATAAGTATTCTACCACTGAGCTACATCTCCAACACCAAACTTTTTTTTTTTTTTTTTTTTTTGAGCAAGGTTGCAGTGGCATTATCCAATTTCCAAATATCTATAATTTTTCAAATGTTAGTCTAATTTCCTTGTGATCTGAGAATGTGCTTGTTATTTTAATCATCTTAAATTTATCAAGCCTTGTTTTGTGGTCCTACTGTTGGAGTAAATGTTTCATGTGCACTTGAAAAAAATGTGCTCTGCTTTTGTGAAGTTGTATTATATAAATATTATTACATTAAGTGACTTGATAGTGTTTACGTTGTCTGTAGCCTGATTTTTTAAAAAACTTTTTTATTTATTTATTTTTATTAGCTACACATGACATTACAATGATCTTGGCAATGTAGCCTGATTTTTTTTTTTTTTTTTTTTTTGTCTACTGTTCTATTAATTACTGAGAAAGGAATATTGAAATCTACAACTATGATTTTTTCTATTTCTTCTTTTAGTTTTTTTGTTTTTGCCTTATGTATTGGGGATTGAACCCTGGGATGCTTAAGCTACATCTCCAAGTTCTTTTTTATTTTGAGGCCAAGTCTCACTAAATTGTTGAGATCTTGAATTCATAATCCTCCCGTCTCAATCTCCCAACTCACTGTGATTACAGGTGTATGCCACTGCACCTGACCCACCTTGCTATTTCTGTTGGTCCCGCTGCTTTGCTACTCTTTAAACTCTTTTATCTTTGCACTGAAACTTTTTAATGATTCCATTTTTAATACATTCCACTTACCACTAATAACTTATTAGGGATTCTTCCTCAGTCTCATTTATTTAGAATTGCTCAAGACTATATTTATAAACAAGAAATTGGCAAAGTGGGGGGTGGGGAATCACCCTGGAATTTTAATTAACTTCATTTTTTAAAAAAATATAGTCTACTTGTCAATAGACCTTTATTTTATTTATTTATATGTGGTGCTGAGAATCAAACCTAGAGCCTCACACATGCTAGGCAAGTGCTCTACCACTGAGCCATAACTCCAGCCCCAATTAACTTCATTATCCAAGCAAAAAATATTACCCTTCCTTAATAAGCCGAGTTTTAAATCTTAACTTTAATTAGAGATTGAACTAGTTAAAATGAAAAAGGTCAATGATGTGAGGAAGAATGTCTATTGAGATTAAAATAGCTAACCTTTTCACAACAAGTGAACAATAAAGACTAAGACAAGACTAGAAAATACCATAATAAAGAAAGTGAACATCATGCATGGCTATGTCAACCAGAAGTGGGCAGCAAGTATTTTATAGTATAATCTAGGTCTCTCCAAACAACCTGCAGAGCATGATATAGCACCATTTCAAAAACTGTTGGAACATATCCATTTGTTCAGCCAAATATTTGCTGGCTGCCTGCTATATGCAGAATGCATTGCTATTGGTACCTAATGTCCCATGTATTCCAAATGAATTCTGATATGCCCCTAGACATTTCATTTTATTTTTTAAAGAATTACAAAAACAGACTGGTATATGTTTTTCTTACTTTATTAAACCTTACTAGTATTCTTTAAAGGACAAACACATGGACAAGTACGATATAGTGAAGAAATCTTATTTTTATAAGAGAATTAAGGAGTCACTAAGATATTTCCAGATACTATCTTCAGTGATGATTGTTATCTTTTTTCTGGGACTCCAGATAATATTCGGCCCCTACGGCTACCACAAAAGCAGCAAATCCCCATTTAAATCCTTTTAATAATACACCAACAAAGGAAACATTGTGTGCAAAGCCACCCATGTATCTCCAAGCTTCATTGCTAGAAGAAAAAAGATGAAAAAAATATAATCACACACAATTCATAAATACTAAGTAAAATTAATTTTAATTTTTCTAATATACTTAAATGTGACATTATTTGAGAAAAATCTATGTGGATCACAATAGTAATCTTTCTGTGGCATAGGATAGTTAAGAATATATGACCAAGTTTTACTTATAAAATATATTTTAAAAAGCCACTTGATGATTTATTTTATAGTCATACTATTCATGCTTCAAATGCATGACTCACTTTGGTTATCCATCACAGACTAGCTGGGTGGCTACACACATACTACTTATTCCAACATCATAGAAAGATCAACTTAGACAATTAGACATTAATTCAGAAGGAGCACAGCTTTTCCCTGTCACAGAAGCTTGAACTTCAGAAGACTGATTTCCTGCTCAGGTAAATCATTCTTCTGAGTATACTGAATAAAGAAGTGAACTGAAGTCAGAGAGGTGTAGGGGGAAAAAAATCTCCTTCCACAGATATTATGTCAGTGAAAAATACCACGTTGTGAAGAGCAAAAACCATTTATCTCTAAAACTCTGACTGGTATGGTTTAGATATGAGGTATTCCCCAAAAGTGCAAGTGTGAGACAATGCTAGAATGTTCAGAGGAGAAATGATTAGAGAGGTGTAACTTAATCACTAGATTAATCCTCTAATATGGATTAACTGGATGGTAACTGTAGGCAGGTAGGGTGTGGCTGGAAGAAGCAGGTCACTGGGGCAATGACTTTGGGATTTGTGTTTTGTATCTGGTGAATGGAACTATCTTTCAGCTTCCTGGTTGCCATATCTTGAGCTGCTTTCCTCTGCTATGCCCCTCCACTAAGATGTTCTGCCTTACCACAGGCCCAGAGTTATGGTGTCAGCTGACCATGACCTGAACTTCTGCCACTGTGAGCCAAAATAAACTTTTCCTCCTTTAAGTTCTTGTTAGGTCTTTTGGTCACAGTAACAGTACGGATAACTAAAATACTGACTTAATAGAAAATATGGAAACTAATCAAATCAAATTTAAATGTCCAAACCAAAGACGTTAGCAGAAAGTGACAGATTAATATACCTCATGAACACAGATGCAAATATTCTTAACAGAATTTTAGAAAATTGAATCCAACAAGATCCAAAAAGGATAATACATCATGATGAAGTAGAGTTCACCCCACATATGAAAGATTGGTTTTAAGATATATATAATACACACACACACACACACACACACACACACACACACACACATATATATATATATGAATACATACTATATATAATACACACACACTTTTTTTTTTTGGTACCAGGGATTGAACCCAGGGACAGTTAACCACTGAGCAACATCCTTAGCCTGTTTTATTTTTCATTTTGAGACAGGGTCTTGCTAAGTTGCTCAGGGCCTTGCTAAATTGCTCAGGGCCTTGCTAAATTGCTGAGTCTGGTTTTGTACTTGCAATCCTCCTGCCTCAGCCTCCCAAGCCATTGGGATTACAGGTGAGTCCCAGCAAAACAGTTTTGATATATGAAAATCAAAGTGATTCATCATATAAATGGAATAAAAAAAATTACACGAGCATTTCAATGGATACAGTAAAAAGTATTTGATGAAATTCAAGAATTAAAAAAAACCAAAGGGCTAGGGTTGTGGCTCAGTGGTTCCATCCTCAGCACCACATAAAAATAAATAAGTGAAATACAGGTATCATTTTGTCCAACTACAACTAAAAAACAAACAAACAACAACAAAAAAAACTCCCCAAAAACAAATAATAAAAGCTTGGCATGGTGGCTTGTACCTGTAGTTCCAGCTAATAAGGAGGCTGAGGCAAGAGGTTGGCCTGAGCCCACAAGTTTGGGGCCACCCTGGGAAGTACAGTAAGAAAACGGTTTTTAAATAAAAGAAAAAGAAAGGAAGAAAATAAAAATCTGGGAAACTTTGGGATAGATGAGAAATTCTTCATTTTGGTAAATGGCATCTCTGAAAATCCTAAAACCCAGCAAACTTAGTGGTGACAGACTGCTTTCTCTCAGGAAAAAGGCAAAGATGTCTGCTTATATCACTTTAATTAACATCATACCAGTATAGTTAGCTAATGCAATTAAACAAAATAAAAAGTTAAGAATACTGTCTTCACAGATAAAATGATTATCTCTGAATAAAATTCTAAGGAATCTGTAAAAAAAAAATCACAACTAAAAAGTGACTTTAGCAAGGTAATGAAATACAAAGTCAGTATATAAAAATTAATTATGTTTTTATTTTCTAATAACAAACAATTGGAAATTGAGACTTAAAAAAATATATCATGTAAAATAGCATCAAAATGTGGAGCTGGGTGCGGTGGCACATGCCTGTAATTCCAGAGGCTTGGGAGGCTGAGGCAAGAGGATCGTAAGTTCAAAGCAAGCCTTAACAAACTTGCAAGAGCCTGTCTCAAAATATAAAAAAGGCCTGGAGATGTGGCTCAGTGGTTAAGTGCCCCTGGGTTCAATCCCTGGTGCCAAAATAATAATAATAATAATAATAATAATAATAATAATAATAATAATTCAGGGTAACCTTAACAAAACATGCAAGACCTGTGTATGAAGCAACAAAATACTGCTAAGAAAATTAAGGAAGATCCAAATTGCCCATGGACTGGAAGATTCAATATTATAAAGACATTATCTTCAATTTGATTTGAATTTGATTTAATATAAATATGAAATAGATTCATATTCTGAATCTATGTCAAAGAGATTCAATGTGATTCCAATTAAAATCCAAGAAGAGCCAGACATGGTGGCACATGTCTGTGATCCTAGCAGCTTAGGTGGCTGAGGAATGAGGACTTTATGTTCAAAGCCAGCCTCAGCAATTTAGAGAGGCCCTAAGCAACTTAGAGAGACCCTGTCTCAAAATAAAATAGAAAAAGGGCTAGGGATTGTCTTGTAAAAGCTGATAATCTCATTCTAAAATTCACAGTTAATGCAAAATACCTGAAATAACTAAACCAATTTAAAAAATGTAGATCTTATAATACCTGATTTGAAGACAGTGTAGTATGGGCATAAGTGCAGACATATTGATCAGGATAACACACTAGAGTCCAGAAATAGGCCACATAAATATGGTAAATTGATTTTGAAAACTTTGTCAATGTAATTCAACCTGGGAAATATGGTCTTTAATAAATGGTGCTGGAAGAACTGAATGCCCATATATAAAAATATCAACTTTCCTTCTTATCTCAAATGATACAAATATTAACTAAAAATGGATCATATACTTAAATTTAAGAAAGAAATTAATTAATTAATAGAAAACCATAAAAGCTCCTAGAAGATGATTAGGAAAAAATCTTAGGATGCCAAAAGCACAACCCATAAAAGAAAAAAAGAAAGCTAAATTGGGAATTCATTAAAATTTTAAATTCTTTGAAATTTAAAACTTAAGAAAATGAAAAGACAAGTCATACTCTGAGTAGACATTTAACCACAGAAAATATGTGAATGGCAAATAAGCACAGAAAAAGATCTGTGTGATCATCACTTTTTATAGAGATGAAAATTAAAACCACAAGAAGGTATTATACCATTTTCACTAGAATCACCAAAATTAAAAGACTAATAACAACAATATTGACAGAGATATTAAGCAACTGAAATTCTCATACACTGATGGTGGGAATGAGAAATAATTCAGCCACTTTGGAAAATGGTTTGGCAGTCTTTTATAAAAATAACTGTGAACATAGCTTATTATCCAGAAATCCCAGTTAGGTATTTATCCAAGAGAAATAAAAATATGTGCTCATAAATGCTCACACTTGAATGATTATAGCAACTTTACTCATAATAGCCAAAAGTTCAGAATAAGCCAAATGACCATCAATTGATAATGGTACCAAAATGAGGTATTTCCACAGAATGGATATAAAATAAAAAGGCAATAAAAAAGATTAGATACAATCCACAACATGTGTAAGTGTCAAAATGCATTATGTTAAGTGAAAGAGTCCAGGACAAAAGACTATATACTATATGATATCAATTCTACAAAATTTGAAAAAGATCAAAACTATCCAGACAAAAGCACAACAAGGGTCACCAAGTCACAGGTAGGGTAACACTGACTGCAAAAGAGCATAAGAGCATAAGGACATTTTCTAAATTAACAGAAATATTCTATAGCATGATTTTGGTGGTTACATAACAGCATTTTTGTCAAAACTAATGGAATTATATGATGGGTGAATTTTAAAATGGATGAACTTTAGAGGAATGATATTTCAATAAATCTGGTTTTAAGCTAGGCAAGGTGGTACATGCCTGTAATCCCAGCAACTCAGGTAGTGAAGGCAGGAGGATCACAAGTCTCAGGCCAGCCTGGGCAGATCCTGTCTCAAAAACAGTAAGATGGGAAGGGGATGTAGCTTAGCGGTTGAGTGTTTACATGGCACGCATGACACCTTAAGTTTGATTAGGAGGACTGGGAGTGAGAGGTGGGCACAAAAAATTTTAAAATTTTAATGTAAAAAGTCATATACTGAAAATGAACACACAAAACACTAACTTTTTGGGGGCGGGGGGTATTCTGGGAATTGAATTCAGGGCACTCTACCACTGAACCATATCTCCAGTCCTATTTTGTATTTTATTTAGAGACGGGGTCTCACTGAGTTGTTTAGAGCCTCATTTTTGCTGAGATTGGCTTTGACCAAGTGATCCTCCTGCCTCAGCCTCCCAAGCCGCTGGGATTACAGGCATGCACCACACCTGGCTAGACACTAAATTAAAAAAAAAAAAAAGTATATATATTTTTAGTTGTAGATAGACACAATACCTTTTATTTTATTTTTATGTGGTTCTGAGGATCAAACCCAGTGCCTTCCACATGTGAGGCAAGCACTCTACTACTGAGCTACAACTCCAGCCCTAGACACTAACTTTTAAAGAGAAGTTCTAATTAAATTACTTAATTCATCTTACCGGCCCCATGGATCCCTGAGCCCTTTTGCAGCCAGCTTCTCCTGGACAGTTTGTAATGGTGTCCCTTCTATCTTCCATTGCCTATAATCTGGAAGTTCTAGTTTTCCATGACCATGTTCATGTCCATGTCCATGTCCAGGGGCCATGTCTACAGAAAATAAGTAACATAATAGATAAGTACACTTAAATGTTTTTTAAAAGATAAATGCTTGAAAATTCTAAGTTAAAAGAGATTTTAGAAAATTATTTTATTACACTAACTAGTATGTGTTCACAGGAAATACGAATATGAAACAGAAAAATAATCAGTAATTGTACCAGAGAAAACCATTTATTATTTGATTACTTTCTTCATTAGAAAAATAGCAAACATTTACTGAGTCCTATGTGCCAGGTGCACTATGTTTTACATATATTAATTTCATCACTTCTAAAATAACTCTCTGAATTTAAATTAAAAATATCCCCATTTTACAACTGAATGAGACTCCCAAAGGTTAAGTTATGTCCTTAATAAATTAACTCTAAGACTCTCAGAAGCTAAGTAATATCCTGAAGGTAACAAAAAATAGTAAAAGGTACAACTGGGCTTTAACCCTTGCAGTACTGTTCCTAACTTCTAAGTAATACTGTTTCCCTCTTTTGAGTCCTAATGCATAAATTTGCATGATGAAAGCATAATACTGTTTAGTTACCTTTATTTAGATGATTCTTTTAAAATGTTGTCTTAATGATTTTGAATACGTATGATCACATGAACTTTTTCTGTAAAAAGTCAGATAATAAATATTTTACGCTTTTGGACAAAAGAGGTAAAATTGAGCAGATTATGTATGCCTATATATGACAAGAAAACAAATTTCCAAAACTTATTGATAAAATCCAAGATATAATAAATAGTAACTGAGTATAATTAAATTTTTTTTGTATAGGTCTACTAATGATAAAAAAGAAATTTCCATTTTGGAGTTCACCATTTTGCTTAGTTAGCGCTCAAAGTTAGAATTCCTTAGTATCAAAGTGATCTCAAAAAACTATTCTTTGCTCATGGGTCTTACAAAAATGAGGTAATGGGCTGAATGTGATTCATAGGCTGAAGTTTACTAAATGAACTGAATAACAGAGACCTTAGGACCCATTTTTCTTTTGTCTTTTTTTTTTTTGTGGTACTAGGGGATTGAATCCAGGGCCTTGCAAATACTAGGCAAGAGTTCTACCACTGAGCCACAACCCCAACCCCTTAAGATCGTTTTTAGTCCATGTTTGCTCCTATAAATAAAATGCCTTTAGTGTTTATATAAATATTTCACTTTTACTAGTGTTATGATTAACTTTTGTGTGTGGGCACGAGTATGTGTGTGTTATATGCTGTGGACTAAATCCCTAGCTTGTTGCATGCTAGGCAAGAACTCTTGACAGTGACCCATATCTCCAGCTCTACTAGTGTTATTTTTACAGCTAATATAAAAATAAACTTAATCTCATTTCCCCTTTTCAATTGCTATGAATTCAAATTAAAGGGTATGAATAAATACTGCTATATTATAATTTGTATAAGGCTAGCAGTAGCAATTCTATAGTCACTCTCTCCAGAAATAAAATGAAACCAAATAATTATTACCATTGGCTGTATTTATAACTATGTACATACAGGCTCAATAATAAGACAGGATTTTTTTAAACTGTATTTTAGAAGACAGAACTAATTGTTAGGTAGTGTACATTAAAGACACATTATGTGAAATTCTCATTCCATTAGACAATAATTCCAAGATGAGAAAAAATTGAACATAATAATTTTGACAAATTAACAAACACTTAATATTTATAAACATGTTAAATATCACAAAATATTATGTTGGTTATTTATATATTTAAAGAGAAAAAAATCAATACCCATCAAACACAAGTTAAAACAACATGACTTTGAAACACTTAATCTTATTAATTTCATCACTTCTAAAATAACTCTCTGAATTTAAATTAAAAATATCCCCATTTTACAACTGAATGAGACTCCCAAAGTCTCATGGTGGATTCAATAATATGAAGGAAAGAAAAATTATGGTTTTGGGTTTCAGAATGACTTTTAAGATTCAATACATTGGGCTGGGGATATAGCTCAGTTGGTTGAGTGCTTGCCTTGCATGCACAAGGCCCTGGGTTCAATCCCCAGCACCAAAAGGAAAAAAAAAAAAAAAAGATTCAATACATTATTACAAAAGAAAGACACTTAGAAACATTTATTTGGGATGGTAATGTCCTGGCTTCTTCATAACATGTTTTAAAAAATATTTTTTGAAATATTGTTTCATTTCAAAAATGTTTGTATAGATTTCAAGACAAGCCCTTATTTTGGCAACTGTCAATTTTAGAATACTGAGTATCCATGTATTTGGAAAACAATACAAAACAGGGTTAAATTTTGGTATGGGTATTGAATTCAATCTGGGATGAATACCAGGTTGCTCTACCACTGAGCTACATCCCCAATTCTTTTCTATTTTGAGACAGCATCTTGCTAAATTGCTGGGTACTCACTAAATTGCTGAGACTGGCTTTGAACTCCCAATCCTCATGTTTCAGCCTCCCAAATTGCTGGGATTACAGGTGTGCTCTACTGTGTCTGGCATGTTAAAATTTTGATGAAAGAGTTTGGTTTGGAAAATAAAAGTTGAAACATTACCATAGTACAAAGGCTATTTCAAATCTATTATATTACTGCCTCAAAATATTAAGTAATTTAAAAGACAAATCTTCAAAAAAAAAATAGAAGTACATACATTCTTATTTCTCCTATATAAATTTCTTTTAATGAATTCAACGTGCTTTCTCTTATACCTAATTCCAGTATTTCAGAAAGGTTTTATAAGAATTTCCTAAATATAAAGAAGAAACAGTCGAACAGTGTTTCTAGAAAATCTTTCATTAAAAAAAAATATTTTTATTTCAGAATAGGCACAACTGCTGGACACTGTGGCACATGCCTACAGTAGTGCTATTCAAGAGGTACAATGCAATCCACACATTGCATTGTATTTCTTCTTGGGAGGCTAAGTCAGGAGGACTACCAGTTCAAGGCCAGCTTCAGCAATTTACCAAAATTTTAAAAGGGCTAGGAATGTAGCTCAGTAACAGAATGCCCCTGGGTTCAATCCCCATTACTACAACAAAGAAATAAACAAGGGCTGTGGCTGTGGCTCAGTGGTAGAGCACTTACCTAGCATGTGTGAGGCACTGGATTCGATCCTCAGCACCATATAAAAATAAACAAATAAAATAAAGGTATTCTGTCCATCTACAACTACAAAAAAAATTTTTAAAAAGAAAGAAACACAACAAAAAGGCAGAAGAGTCGTAACTCAAACAACAATATCCTGATCATTTGAAGGAAGAGTCTGGAATTCTCTTACTTTGCACCATTGATAGCTATAAAAGCACCAGGTAAATCACTTAATCTTTCAGAATTTCAGTTTCTTCATTCAATGGACATGAAACCAACCTTGTAAGATTATGAGAATTGGGGAAAACAGATTGCAATGTGCCTTCTGGGTATGAATATGACCAAGAACAATCATTCTGAAACATTTGTATGACTTAGAAAAGCTGAACAAGTGTTTAAATTTATGAAATTTGGCATATGAACTGAGATGTTTTGTAAACATAAAAGTACACAAATTTAGAAAAGTGTGAAAATATAAAATATTTCAATAACTTAATATTGGTTACATTTGGAAATAATATTTCTAATAATTGAGTTAGATAAAATATACTATTAAAGTTAATTTTGTTTCTTTTTACTTTTAATAAGGTTTTAAAAATTACATGTGTGGATTGCATTGTATTTCTTCAAGCAATGTTTTATAAAAATTTGGGGACTTTTTTTTGGTGCTGGGTATCGAACCTCATGCATGCTAAGGAGAAGTTCTTTCACTGAGCCACACCCCAGTTCCTGTTAGATAAGAATCTTTACAGTCACATAACTGTTTTTTGCTAGCTCTAAACTGTAAGTAATTCCAATCTAGTGACAATAGAAAGGATTATGGTACAATCTCACTATAGAATATTATACAACAAAGAGCTACATGCAAAAGTATGAGCAAACTTCACAAATATAATAATGAACAAGGATGAATCAGAAAAAGACACATACATATTGATCCCATTTGTATAAGTTGAAAAGTCTAATTCACTTTTTAGTAATGCATCTTAGACAGAATTAAAGTAAAACAAGTGATTTCTTGCCAAGAGTCAGGATAGTGCTCACCTCTTGGTGGTGGAGAGATAATCACAGAGGCTAATACAAAAAGTGTCTAAGGAAGTGTTTTAGTTTCTTTCTTTTCTTTTTTTCTTTGTTTTTTGGTGGTGGGCATTGAACCCAGGGGCATTTAACCATTGAGCCACAACCCTGGCACTTTTTATTTTTTATTTTGAGACAGGATCTCACTTAGTTGCTTTGGGCCTTGATAAGTTGTTGAGGCTCACTTTGAACTTGTGATTCTCCTGCCTCAGCCTTCTAAGCCACTGTGCCCTGCCAAGGCAGTGTTTTCAGCCTCTAAGGAGTTGAGATGTATTTTGTATCTGTTTATGAACTGTCGCCCTATTTAAGGGACATAAACCATTGTGTTCTCCTCATTTCTCATTCCATTTTCCCTTCAAGGACAGAACACCTCTGTTGAGAATGCATATTCTAAATTATTAGCAGTGCTAATCTGAGAGATGGTTATACAAGTATTTGCTTGATTACAACTCTTCAAAATTTACTTTTGTTTTATATAGTCCTATTATGTGAAAATAAAAAGCAAAATTTTCTCGAAAAGGTGAGTTATAAACTGTGCTGAGACTCAACAAGGAATGATTATTTCACTTTCAGAGCTGCTCAAATAAGAACAGCAAGGAAAGCAGCTCAACAAAGAACATGTGATTATGAAAAATGTAAAAAGCTATTTATGTCTTAAGTGAACCTTAATTTTGGTGGAGATCAACCTATAATAAAAGGGTGGCTCCCGCACAGGGAAAGCAAGGGCATATTTTCTTAAGAAGGAAGCAAAAGGGTAATGCTACTCCCACTACATGCAATTTTATAGTTTACCAAAGACTTTCAAATATATATTCCCAATTCTCCCCATTTAAAAAACCGCAATTATCATACTAATGAGAAAATAAAACCAAAAGGATTCTTATCACGTTATTGTCCAATCTGTGTTCCTAAACACATGCAATGGCTGGGATTTTTATATCCTGCTTCCCCCCCCCCCACACACACACTATAACACTGTACCATAAACATTTGTACCAGAAAAAGCTTACTTAAAAATATACAAGCTGGTGAGGCATACATTACAATTATTTTACATATTTTCGATTTGGGGGCTGTCCCTCTGCCTTTATTCAATCCAAATGTAAACCAAATGTCCACGGGCCGAGAAGGGGGTTGCACCGGGCAAGGGCGGGACAAAGTACCTGGATTTAACAACCAATATAATTCTCACAGTATCCTTCTGCAACCACCTGTCCCTCCTTCAGTTCTAAACTATAGTTCTCTTTGGCTTATTCCTTGGCCTCCTTCCCCTTTGAACTGCCTCCTCTCGTCATCCTTCTCTACTTAGTTTCTCCCAGTCTGCATTTCCTCAGAATAGAGTCTAGCTCTCAATCCTAATATAGAGGTCTCCCACGAACTCCCTAATTTACCTTACAGCAATTTGACCTCTCAGGACACTCAATAGTCAACCGTCCAGCCGGAGCCAACCGGAAACGGAAGTTGTCAAGTACAGTTCCTTACGGTAGGAAAACGGAGGAGAAGTTTAACGTTCCGGTCCTGGTTCAATGATTTCTGGACCAAATAGGGATAATACGAGGGATATGGGAAGTCAATATTTTGTACACATACGTGCATTCTAAGTATGATTGAGCTAAGAGACATTTCAGAGGAAATAAGGGCGGAAAAGCGATACTTTCCTTGTTTGGAGAGGGACTCCTTAAACACTGCACAGAGGGTAGGGCCGAAGATTGCCCCACCCAATAAGTGAAGCTGTTGTTGGGAGCGTGGACTCATCCAATGAGAAGGCTGGTTGTTGTGCTGCAGTTGGCAGGCTGCTGCGGGAGGCGGTGGCGATAGGAAGCTGGAGGCAGAGCGGTGACTGGTAGGCGGCGGTGCTGTCTTTGGGGCACGGAAAGTGCTAAATGAGGAGGGCTTTTCTTCTTCTCCGGCTGCGGACCCTATACAGGGGAAGCTGACGAGGGTGGTCTGGGAAGGCGGTAGCCAGACCGTTGGTGGTTCCGGAACCTCGTAAGCCAGGTAGCCGCTTAGGAGGGTCGTGAGGAGATGGCAGCTGAGGCGGGCGGGGGCTGCGTCCTGTGGGGCGGCCTGGGGGCCTGCTTAGAGCATGGGGGTTGTGGTGGCGTGGTCTGAGAGAGAGAAGAGAGGCTGGAGTAAGACACTGGTAGTGAGAGCTGAAGGAATTCCTTGCACGAAGCCCCAGGCGAGGAAAGGAGGCGACGTTACAGACACCTGAGAGAAATCCTAGGGATTTCTTCTTATGGCCATTTGCTGAGGGTAGTGAAGGGGTGCGGAGAAGAAAGCTGTTTACTGGCGGTCAGATCCTGTAAACTCTATTGCTGTGCATTATGTAATCCTTGGCTTGTTATTTATTGTAACAACGAGGTTGACCCTCTTGGAAGAGGAGGTCTTGCAAACCTATTGATAGAACACTTTTCATTGGCTTCAGTGCTTTTTTTTAGCCAGGCAGGCTCTGTAGGCGAAGGGTGATAGCATGAAGGTTAGAGTAGTCACGAAGAGCTTATCCCAAATCTGGACTGGAGAGATACGGCGCAAGTTTGAGATGACTGTGTTCAGATTCGTGTTTTATAGTTCATGAATTTGTTTTGAGGGTCAAGGATGGTAACAAGTACGTTTTTTAATCTTCAGGAAAGTGCAGAGCTTCAAAAAGTCTATTGTAGGAGGTAAGTGCAAATTGGAAGATGACTAGAAAATTAATTGGTAGAACCTCCCCTCCCCACAGATATTGTGGATGTTAGAGATTGTGACAATAGGGTGAAAGTCTGAATGGGGAGGAAGGGTGTCAGTTTTTAAGTAATTTGCTTTGTAAGTCTGAGACTAGTTATGAGTTATTTCTTAGGTTTTAAAAAATAAGCTCTTTGAATCTCTTGGAAGTATATAAAACGTACTTACAAATAAAATTAATCATAAATTATCCTGTTTTTCAAAAGTCTTGTGCTGAAACTCTTGGTTCAATCCCCAATACTGGAAAAATAAAGAGTCTTTATAATTTTAGGTTTACACAATGAAATGTAGGATTAAAATAGAAATTCTAGGCAGTATGTATATAAAAACTTGATTTTGTAGCTCAGTGAAAAGTGATTTTAAAAGACGGGAAAACAATTTTTAATAAAGCTTTAAATATTGCTAAAATGTAAGCTGTTTGAAGTGTTGCCTTTAGAAGATAAGAACAAATTCAGTATTAGCAATTGTATCATTTTACTGAACATGTTTTAGTACTACTGCATGTCAGGAAAACTTTCTAAAATGTGGGTGTTTTTTTTTTTTTCCTGTTAATGTTAATTTATGTTAGTGCATACAGACCTAAATCAAAATTTCATTTGTTTTGCTCAAAATAATATTTGTGAAAGAGAAGTGGAGTGGATCCTTAGAGTTTGTTTTGAAGTGTTGAGAGTACTGAGATTATTTGTCAATGGTTTAATTAAATTTTTAAAATGATTCTTGGTTTCAGTCTTTTCTGTTTTTGAGTAATGCTGTCTCGGTTACAAAGAAAACAACTTTCTGGGTGAAATTTTGTAGTGATTTGAGTATCTGTGAACAAATTTGCCTTTATTCAGAGTTTTTTTGGGGGGAGGGGGGAGAGAGAGAGAGAGAGAGAGACAGTGTGTGTGTGTGTGTGTGTGTGTGTGTGTGTTTCTTATGTAACCAGCCTACTCACTGTCTTGAAGAACTAATAGCTGATTTTGAATGGCCAGTAGGTGTCATCTTAGAATGCCATAAATTGAACATTGGGAAGGAGATTACCAAGCAGTTTAAGAAACACTTGCCCAATGTTTAATGCCATAACTTCAACACCAAGAAGAAAATTACCAAGTACTTTAAGAACCATTAATTCAATTAGCGTGTAATTGGATAATTATTTATAAATCATGAATGTTCTCTTTCTTCTGAAATATTTCAAAAGTTCTATTGGAGCTATTTATAAGGAATTTGAGCTAGCTACTGTTTGTGGTGCTGGGGATTGCCCAGGGCTTTTTGCATGCTAGGTAAACACTCTGCCAACTGACCTATCTCTCAAACAGTGTCTGCAAAGAAATATAATTGTTTGCTTTAAAATGGATTTTGACTTTTTTAACCCAGCCCTTAAGGTATCTTGTCATATAATGGGGGTTTAAGATTAGTTGACTATTTTTAGTATACAGTTTTGATATCTTACTTAGGTTATTCTAAAATGATTAAGGTTTTCAGTCCACTGAACTTATATCGTAGAGAAAACAGTGCTACATGATGTAAAATTAAAATGATGAAATATGGGCAGAATTCTTTGAACAAGTTATCAGCAGTTTTCTATTGTTCTTTTAATGCCTGAACGAACAGCAGAATTTTTGTGTTTCATTATCTGTGGTGGCTGTGGTGCCTTCTATTTCTTCTTCTTAAGCTATATCCCCAGCCCTTTTTATTTATTATTTTGAGACAGGTCTCGCTTAGTGGTTCCCACTTTTTGATCCTCTGCCTCAGCCTCCCAAGTAGCTAGAATTACCTGAGTGTGCCACCTCACCAGTCTGTCTGTGGCTTCTTAAGGTCCCAAATTGCTTCCTTTTACATTTTTATCTGGTAGACTACATGCTTTTCTCAGAATAATGAATACCAATGTCTAAGATGTAATGTAGTGGATTCTGGAGGGAGCTGACATAGAAATCTCTGAAGGTGGTGTATACCTGTTGTAAATAGCCTCCCTAGCCTTCTGCTGAGCTCTTGTCACTTTGTAGTTCTATTTCTTATGCTTTGCTTTTGACACAATGTTTAAAAAAAGGACTGCCTAATTTGAGAATTATCCAATTGGGTACAGATAGATAGAAAGGTCTCTCAAAATAATCTAGGAGTTTATAAAAAGGCATACACACAGTTATTATATACACTTCAAAATTTTAGTCATGGGGGAGTATGAAGGAAGTAGATGCATTTTTTGGGAAAAAAAATCTCTTAATGGTTTGGCTTAGTTATGGCTGCCACTTTAAAAACCATTGATGTAATTCAAGGCTCTGGCACTTGTGGTATGAACCAGTAACAATAGTTTCAGTTTGCGTGAAAGAGCTACCAAATCTACCAATAAGTTTTTAGCTCAACAAATTGTCACCATTTAACAACATAGCAAGGGTAACTTTTCTAGCCAGTGTCTGAAATTGCTAAAAATGAATATTATGCTGAATGTTTCAGTTTGCCTCAGAAAGTGATCTAGTTCTAGAATTAAAAATGGAAAATAAAGATTGAAAGTTTTCTTGATTAAAAGTCTTTTTAATAGTGCAATGATATGACAAATATACATTAATATTTGCATAAACAGTCACTCACTAATATGTATTAAAACTTGGAATTGCAAATATGTTGACCTTGGTATTGGTTCTAATTTATAAATTTATAGCTCCTCTTTATGAATTCTGAGTTTTTTGTTTGGGGATCTGGCTTCCATATAGATAAGTATGAGAAAAAAGTAAATAAGAAGAATGAAATTTGGGGGAAATTTAATTTTAAGGTGTGTGACTTTGGTTAATTACAGAGTTATGCTTTCTGTGTTTGAGATACAACTGCCAAAATATTGGTCATAAAATGTGGCAGGTGGCACCAATTTACTAAGTGGTAAACATGGGTTACAGAATACTCATTTTGTTCTATACCTCAAAAAATGTTAGTCAGATTTATTACCTTTGTTATTATGGATAATTGAATCTTTTTTTTTTTTTTTTTTTTGGTAGTGCTGGGGATTGAAATGAGGGCCTTGTACATGCAAGGCAAGCACACTACCAACTGAGCTATGTCCCCAGCCCCAGATAACTGGCTCTTTTTAAAATTATTGCATATTAATTATATAGAATATTGGGTTTCATTGTGTCATATTTGTATATGTGTATAACATTTTTATCATTTCTGTCTCCCCATTACCCGCCCTACACTCCCCTCCCCTGTTCCCTTCTTCTTAGTAATAGTCCCCCTTGTACATCCAAGTCATCCCCCACCCCTAGATTTCACATATGAAAGCAGGCAATACTTGTCTTGAGTATGGCTTATTTTGCTTGAAAATAACAGATGATATGTAGTGCCGTCCATTTTCCTGCAAATGGCATAATTTTGTTTCCTTAAGGCTAAATAATACTCCATTGTGTATATATGCCACATTTTCTTTATCGATTCATCTGTTGATATGCACCTAGGCTGACTTCATAACTGGGCTATTGAGAATTGTGCCTTCATAAATATAGGTATGTATATATCTATAGTGTGATACTTGACTAATAATGTTTGATATAGGCTAATATAGCTACTGAGATTTGTCAATTAATTTACATAAATTTCTTTCCTCATATTTTATAAAAACAGGTGAGGGAAGGAGTTGGATCCTGAATAGGAAATCAAACTTATACTTTCACATTCTCTTTTATTTTAAAGCTTTCTAATCTGTATTCCTTTGTAGTTCTTTTGAAATGAAAACAATAGTGGAGTTAGAAGAATACACTGTGGACCATTCTGTTTTTCTAAAGTGACTGTAGGATTCAAATAGAAAACACAAAGTACTTATAAAATCTAAAATTTTTAACAATTTGAAATATTTTACAGTATTTACTGTTTTATTGTTTGTGGAAAAAACTAGGAAAAATTAATAAAAAAATTAGAATTAAATGTTCCATTGTCAAATCTCTCATTGTATACCTGTTACTCTGTGATCTTATTTATTCACTTAGTATCTAAAACTGATAATTCTTAGGGCTGATAATTCTCAAATATCTATCTGTTTTCCCTATCTATGTCTCTAATCTAGACTTTTTCTTTCCTGTTCTATAATTTAAATACCTGCCAGATGAAGATGATCTGCAGGGCCCTCAAATATGCTATGACTTAAAATGATTCTATTTTCCCTTTTATCATTTTTCTAATGGGCTGAAACTAGAACCTGATGTTATCTTTAATACTTTGTTTATGTACCTCTCATCTGAGCAATACTGGATTTTGTTGCCTCTACCTTCTATTTTTACTTTTTAAATTGATACATAATAATTGTACCTATTTATGGGGTATGATATGATGTTTCAATACATGTGTACATTGTGAAAGATGCAAATCAAGGTAAAATCCTCAAACATGTGGTGAGAACATTCAAAACCTTTCTTTTGGAAACACATTGTTATATATAGTCGCTTTATGTGCAATAAAACATGAGAACTTATATTTCCTATATAACCATAAATTAGTACCCATTGAGTAACTTTTCCCCATTCTTCCCTCCTGCTCTCCTCAGCCACTGGTAACCACTGTTGTTTTCACTGTGTCTATGAGATCAATTTTTTTTGATTCCACATACAAGTGAAATCATGCGTTGTCATTCTGTGACTGGCTTCTTTCACTTAACATAATGTCCTCCAGGTTTATCCATGTTGTCACAAATGACAGGATTTCGTCCTTTTTGTATAACTCAATAGTATTCCTTTGTGTTTATATACCACATTTTCTTTATTTATTCATCAGTTGACGAACACTTGGGTTGACTCCATTTCCTTGGCTGTTGTGAATAGTGCTGCAGTAAAGAGAGTGCAAATGTCTCTTCAATATACTGATTTCCTTTCCTTTGAATATATCCCAGTAATGGAATTACTGAATTGCCAACTGATCTTTTATTAAAGACAGTGCAACTTTGTGTTTGTATTCTATAGTATCAGATTATGTAATGTTT